TTTTTTTTTTTGCTCAGTATTGCTTTGGTTATTTGGGGTCTTTTGTTGTTCCATGTGAATGTTTTGCTTTGTAGTATAATTTGAAGTCAGGTAGTGTAATTCCTCCATCTTTTTTTTTTGCTCAGTATTGCTTTGGTTATTTGGGGTCTTTTGTTGTTCCATGTGAATGTTAGGATTGTTCTTTTCTATTTCTGTGAAGAATGTCATTGGCACTTTGATGGGGATTTTATTGAATCTGTAGATCACTTTGGGTAACATAGACATTTTCACAATCTCAATTCTTCCAATCCATGAACATGTAGTGTCTTTCCATCTTTTTGTGTCCTCATTAATTTCCTTCAGCAGTGATTCATAATTCTTATTATAGAGATCACTCACCTCCTTGATTAAATTTATTCCTAGGTTTGAGTGTGTATGTGACTATTATAAATGGGCTTGCTTTCTCAGTTTCTTTTTCTGCTAGTTTGTTGTTGGACTATAAAAACAATTCTGATTTTTATATATTGACTTTGTATCCTTCAACTTTACTGAATTCATTTATCAGCTCCAAGAGTTTTTTGGTGTAGAGTCTTTAGGTTTTTCTGTATATAAAATCATGTCATTTGTAAACAGGGAGAGTTTGACTTCATCTTTTCCAATTTGGATGCCCTTTATTTCTTTCTCTTACCTGATTACTCTGGCTAGTACTTCCATACTATGTTAAATGGGATGTGGGAATAGTTGGAAGAGAATTGATATTAATTCCTCTTGAAATTCTGGTGAATTCAGCAGTAAAGCCATCTAGTCCTGGGCTTTTCCTTGTTGGGAGACTGCTGATTACTGTTTCAATCTCATTGCTTATTATTGGTCTGTGCAGGTTTTCTGTTTCTTCTTAGATCAGTCTTGGTAGTTTGTAAGTATCCAGAAATTTATCCATTTCCTCCAGGTGTTCAAATTTGTTGGTGTATAGTTGTTCAAATAGTCTCTAATGATTCTTTGTATTTCTGTGGTGTCAGTTATAACATGTCTGTCTCATTTCTGATTTTTTTATTTGGGTCTTCTCACTTCTAATTTGACAATCTCTGCTTTTTATTTGGAGAGTTTAGAACAGAGACCAGCAAACAGCAGCCTGCAGTCCAGATCTGGTATGTAACTTGTGTTTGTGTGGCCTGTGAGCTAAGAATGGTTCTTATATTTTTAAAGTGTTGTAAAATAAAAAATCCAAAAGAACATGTACTCCAAAAGCCTAACATACTCATATTTACTATCTGATACTTTTCAGGAAAAGATTGCCAACCCCTTGTTTAGACTATTTATATTTAGTGTGATGATTGACATGGTTGTGTTTATGTCTGCCATCTTGCTATTTGTTTTTTCTTTGTCTCATCTGTTCTTTCCTTTTTCCTCTTTTTCTGACTTCTTTTGGATTGAGTATTTTCTTATCTCTCTGTATTTCCATAGCTAGTTTATTAGCTATAACTCTTTTAGTAGTTGCTTTAGAGTTTATACTATACATTTTTAACTTACCACAGTCTAACTTCCTATAGTCTAAGAGCCTTATAATGGTGGAGTTCCATTTTTCCCCTTCTGTCCTTTGTGTTATTATTGTCATGCATTTTACTTACACTTATGTTATAAATCAGCCAGTACTTTGTTATTATTTTTGCTTTAATAGGTCAATTACCTTTTTAAATATTTTTAATTAAAAATAGAGATTTTGTAACTGGCTATTGTAGTTACCATTTCTGGTGTTAATCATCCCTTTGTGTTGATCCAGGTTTTAATCTGATATCGTTTTTAAATATTTTTAATTAAAAATAGAGATTTTGTAACTGGCTACTGTAGTTACCATTTCTGGTGTTAATCATCCCTTTGTGTTGATCCAGGTTTTAATCTGATATCCTTTTTCTTATTCTTTAGTGCAGGTCTGCTTGCAATAAATTCTTTCAGCTTATATGTGTCTAAAGTCATCTTTATTTTGTCTTTCTTTTTTGAGAGATATTTTTGCTGGGTATAGAATTCTAGGTTGATAAGGTTTTTCCCCCAGTACTTTAAGGATGTTGCTCCATTGTCTTTTAGCTTGTATTGTCTCTGATCATTGCTGAGCTGAAGACTCAAGGGAGCCCCCTGCAGGTGCTTGTAATTCCTCACTGTGCTCTGTCTCCTCTCCATCACTCTGCCCTGCAGACTCTTATGGCCCTGGCTTCCTTGGATTTCCACCTGTCTCCTCAGGGAAACTGCTGGCTTCTGCCTACATTCCCTCACCCTATACCAGGACCTGGAAACTTTCTCAAGGCAGTGTGCTAGGGCAGTGCTAGGCCTCTCTTCATTTGTTTCCCATCTCTCAGGACAGACTGTCTCTTCATGCCTAATATCTCATATGTTTAGAACATTTTTTTTTCATATATTTGTCCATCATTTTAGTTGTTTCGGGTGGGACCCTGAGTCTGGCCCCTCTTATTCCATCTTGGTTAGAAGCAGATGTGCCTTCAAGTGATTTTTAATTTTATTATGGCTTCGCTGTATTTGGGGGGATTGTCTTTGTACTAAGCCTATTTCCCTTTCGTAATTGTATTGGTTAAAGCTTCTCCATTTACAAAGTTAGTTTTAAAAAAAAGGTGACCTACTGTGGAAAGCCATTTGCAACAAAAGAAAGCTTTTACCATATAAAATTAGAAGCAGATGTGCCTTCAAGTGATTTTTAATTTTATTATGGCTTCGCTGTATTTGGGGGGATTGTCTTTGTACTAAGCCTATTTCCCTTTCATAATTGTATTGGTTAAAGCTTCTCCATTTACAAAGTTAGTTTTAAAAAAAAAGGTGACCTACTGTGGAAAGCCATTTGCAACAAAAGAAAGCTTTTACCATATAAAGGATTCTCACAAATCAAGGAGAAAAAAATAGACATCATAATAAAAATAAAAATGGCCAATAAGTTTTTTTTAGAACAGTGCCATCACTAGTAATGAAAGAACTTGAGTTGCAGACCATCATTCTTATATTTTCCAGTGCTGGTGAGGGTGTGGGAAGTACAAGTGGTGGGCATGTACAGTGGCCCAGTCTTGCTCGTGAGCACCTTGTCAGAATATATCAGGACACTTAGAGTGAGCATACCTTGACCCGTATTTTATTTTCAGGAACTCTTTCTAAAGAAGTTAAGAATATGAGCAAAAATTTAGGTACAAGCTTTTTCTTACACCAGTGATTATAATAGTAGAAATATTTAAAAACCACATAAATGGCCACAAACAGGAAACTGGTAAACAAATTAGATTCATCCATTATATGGTTCTTTGTATAGTCTTAAAAATAACATGGTTCAAAATTAAATGATATAAAAAGATTTTTATCATATGTAAAGTGAAATAGTTTATAAAACAGCATATACTACATAGTACCATCTTCATTTTAAAAAACTGATGTAAAGAAAAAGATTATACTCTAAAATATGAATATTGATTTTTTTCTAACTGGTGAGTTTATGAGTATATTTTTATTTAGCTGAATTTTCAAATTTTCTACCATGAATACGTATTATTGCCCTTGTAGCAAGAACAGTAGGGTTGTTTTTAGTTAATTAATTGTTAAATATTGGTCTTTTCAAGCTATAGGCCAGAGATTGGCAAAGTTTTTCCATAAAGGGCCGGATAATAAATACTTTAGGTATTGTGAGCCAGATGGTCTTTGTTGACTGTTCCACTGGTATAGCACAAACGTAACCATCGACAATGTGTAGAGCAGAGAATGTGGCTGTGTTCCAATTAGACTTGACTTTCAAAGAGAAATGGTCAGCAGATTGGCTCACTGTGTGTCATCTGCTGGCCGGTTAGGGTCTGGAATAACTGAAAGCCACGTCTCTCTGTCCTTAGGTGCTGGCAGGCTCCTGTTCATCACTTTCCTTGTTTAGACACTAGAAAAGTCATATTATCATGAAATCTGCACCAGCAATAAATGTATCCTCTTTGCAAAGTAATCAAGTCTGCTTTCCCTCATTCTAAAACCATTCTTTTAATACCATTATTCCATTATTATCTTGGCTTTTTCTTTCCACAATCAAAAAGGATTTTGAAACTCTAGTTACCCAAAAATTAAATGCTTAGTGATGTTATTTTCTGGTGCTGAAATATTCATCTCTGCAATCAAATATAGAAAAATGAGTAACAAGGCCTATTTCTTTTTCTTTTTCAAAGTAAAGCTTAAGATGCCATCCTTCTAAAAAAGGCCTATAAGCCTAGTGTGGGTAAATGAAGTCTACTGATAATCCACAAACCTGCCTCAAGAAAACATCTCAACTTTCTTCCTGATTAGATGTTACTCAAGAGTCTCTAGCCAAAGTCTCCTTCTCTATGTCCCCATTTACGTCACTAATTAGATGTTGTGTTCATTTACTGCTGCTGCTTCAGGGTCCTCCATACATTGTAGGTGTGACAGGACAGAGTGGTGTGGGGAGGGTCTCCTGGGCCAGTCTGACCCAGGAGGTCTTGGGCCCCATTCAGACTGTCAGTCAGGCTGACGTGAGGACCCTGCATGTTGTAGCATCCACTGCAGAGGTTAACTGCACAGGGAAAATGCCTGTGAGTCAGGCAAGATAGACTGAGCCATCTGCAGAAGCTTCCACTACTGTCTCCACTCTGCCTTCCTCATCTGCACTGAGGAAGTGTGGCCAGCACAGCTGTCACTGTCGGGCACTGACCGATGTCCTCACTGTATAGCACTGCAGCCTCGCCATCCTCCCACAAAGCACCAGTGTTCCCGGGTTGCCCCTCTATGCATTCCCTTCCACCACCCAGGTGCAGCTCCCACAGACCCTGAAACACGCAGTCGTCCCAGCATGCAGGGGACAAGCCCCATGGGCATGGTGCTGCCACAGCCTGCCTGTAGGCACACCCACTTGTCTGCACCGTGGGAGCCTGAGTGCCACTTTGACTGGAGTTTAGTACACCAGGGTTACCTCTGTGGCCTGCATTGCAGGTGGACTGCTCGGTTCATAGCTGTGGGTTTTTCCCCTTCTGTCTCCTCAGAAATTGCAGGTGCTCCAGTGTCTGAAATTTCCGGGCCTTTCTCAACAGACGACGTAGCCAGCAACTGTGTCCCTGCCCAGTCTTTGAACGAGCCCATGTTGTGGATCGTCTCCTACACTCTTATGAGCGTGTGTGGGGTCATCCTCCTTATCTTAACCATCCTGCTGCTGCTCCCAATCCGGTGTGGACATCTCCCCCGCGATCCCGAGGTCGTCAACGATGAGTCCTCTCTCGTCAGGCATCGCTGGAAATGAAGAGCAAGGTCTGAACTCTCGCAGCCTCAAACCCAGCTATTAAGAGAATCCCATTTTGAGGGCAGCAAGCATGGGATCTAAGGCAAGGCTTCTTCTCGGGTCCTTGAGGCTTATTTCTGTTCTGCTCCCAGATGCCTTCCAGATTTACTGTGCTTTGATTCTTGATTTTAAATCTTCCAATTCTTCTTCCTTACTTCCAAGAAAAATGGTAATAAAGACCACTTCATTCTAAATCACAACAGCTTGAATTGGGCTTCAGGCTTTATGGAACTGGTTACACTAAACTACCTAGCTGTACCACCCAAAAAAACAAACAAACAAAAAAAGGCAAGACTTAGCTAGTTCTCTTCTCTCTCCATCTCTGGAAAAATATGTGCATAGTTTATAACCCCTCTTAGCTTACAGGAAGCTTTTTGTATTGATTGCACTTAAGGGTATTTCACACCAGTCCTCAACCTGGGTCAGAGTGGTACAAGAGGGCTTGCAATACAACGGCAGGAGAAGACACCTGGGGCCTGGTGGAGGAACCATCCTGCCCTCGTCCAAGTCGGAAGCAGAGCACCGGCTCCTTTCATGGGTCTCTCTGTCTCTGGATGGAGCCAGAATCCACTAGGAGATCATTGCCCAATAGTGTCACCAGCCTCTTCTGAAGATGGAATGCCTTTTGCCTATCGAGATAGAGTGGGGAGAAAACCTGCTCTTTTATACCCAATACTTCTGTAGCATTGTTGGTGTAAAAGTTAAAAAAAAAAACTACCTCTTTTGAGACTTTGCCCAGGGTCCTGTGCCTGGGTGGGGGTGCAGGCAGCCGGAGTGCAGCCACTGCCCTCACCCAAAAGAATTCCCATTCCAACAGGTGAGATGTAATGAGTGCTGAACTGCCCAGCCACCGGGAGGAGTTCTGTCACCTCACTGGTCCTTGTCACATATGCTTCTTCTTACTTAAGATTAATAAATAGAGTTTTAATAAGAAAAAACAAATTCTCTTCCACTAGCCCAGTTGTTTGTTCTTCCAAATTTTCTCTAGAAGTGGGTGCGTAATGAGTGCTGAACTGCCCAGCCACCGGGAGGAGTTCTGTCACCTCACTGGTCCTTGTCACATATGCTTCTTCTTACTTAAGATAAATAAATAGAGTTTTAATAAGAATAAACAAATTCTCTTCCACTAGCCCAGTTGTTTGTTCTTCCAAATTTTCTCTAGAAGTGGGTGTGTTATCACCTTATTGGGAAATAGGGAAATGGCTGAATGCCCACACTTCTAGCTGCTGTCAGGGAAGGAGATAAAAGACCTGCAGAGGACATGGAGGGAACCTCCACATCTCCCCGTGCTCTGGGGCCATGTGTTTTTCTTTGCAGATAGGCTCAAGCAGACCCATCTGGATCAGTTTAAATGCGACCACATAGCAGTCAACCCAGGCGCTTCCTCCCCTAGGCGCATTCAGTCTTTGGTGACAGGTGTGCAGGGGTCTCCTCACTTGAGAGAAATGCTCACTTGCTATCACTTATTTGAGGCCTTTGCCAAAGAAAAATGGAAGCCTTTATGTCAATGTAGCCAGCCTTATATGATCTGATGTAGTTAAGAGAAGGGTTCAAAGCCAATACCCCTTCTCTCTTGTTCGTGTGCCAAGTTCAGTGTTCACTTTGTGTTGCTATAGGGGTGGATTGGATATGTAATGAAATTCCACCAGAAGTGCTAAGTGGCCCCTCCAGCAGGAGTGTCATATGTGTTCACAACAGGCTATGAGTGGATGTTTCAGCCATCTGCTCTCTCCCTGAGTCCCCGGTCACCTCCAGATTGAGAAGTGCATGACCGAGCCAGAGATGTGGGAGCCACTGAGGCATGCCATGGTGTCCTCGCAGGCTCTGCAGCTGCCAAAAGAATCTGCGGTGAGATTCTCATGACAAAAGATTTGAGCTGCATCTTAGAAGGAATGTGAGGGCGTTCAGGGGACGATGCCCTCTTGGGATGGGACGACAGACGGGGCTTCTGTTATCAAATTCTCCTTATGATGTCTGGTCTCAGCTAGTGGACAGCTAATAGTTACAGAGTTAGAAATCTCTGGAAGTTGGATTCTCTTCATGTCCTGTTGGCTTTTTCGCTGGTTGCTGTTTTGTAGGCAGCTTTGTATACAGGTGAAGCCAGTGCCTCTCCATTGTGCCTTCCCCTTGCCATGAAAAATCCTAACCCCTGAAATAAAAGGAGGAAATTGCAGGTGTGGCCCAGTTGGTTTTGCTGCTTATTTCTTCACACAGGAGTCTTCTGTTTCACATTATTGTGTTAGGTTTTTGAGGTGGGGAAGGTTCATTCTGTGGCGGCTCAGCCAGCACTGTTCTCAGAATACATGATAATAACAAGTTAGGTTTCCAGGTAGGGTAGTTGAATGAAGTTGGCTGTAATGCTCTGTATTTTATGTCAAATTTCTCTGCCTTTTCATCTCAGATGTCATTGGATGTGACATTTTAATGGAAATACTTAAATTGCAAAAGCATAACTTAGCAGCAAGAATGAAATAGACAATTGAATATAGGACTTGTTCTGGCATGCCTTAGCCGCAGAAATTGGACTCTGAGTCAAAACTCCCTTAGTGACACCCACCTCATTGAAGGACGTAAATTGATGCTTAACTTGGCAAACCTGCAAGGAGGTTTGTTTTGAACAGGAAAGGAAGCAGCAGCCCTTTGAAGGTGGCAGGTTTACCTTGAAAATACAGGAAGACAGTCCTTGCCTGAAAGATGCATTAGGTTGTTGTCAGAAACCTGGTCAACTCTGGTGGAGAAACGAATGCTTCTGTGTGAGCAATGTTATTTTAAGTAGGATTGTGCTTTATATTCCCAATAACTTATTTGGAAGTTTGAAATGAAATCCTGCCATTCGTAAGAACAGAAACTGTTTATTAAGAAATAGCAAGAAATGAGATGGAGATTGATTCTATTTTTTTGTTGTTTTGTTTTGAGAATTTAAAAGAATCACAAGTGATTGGCATCAGATCTCCTGATGTATACCATACACTATTTTGTATTGCTTCTGAAGTAAAAACAAGTACCTGGCATTAAAGAAACAGATGCCCTGCCTGTGACCATGGGGGATATTTTTCCTGAACACATTCCACTTCTGAATATTTGGAAGGACTTTACCTGATTCATCATGAAACGCAGAGGGTTTGGTTGGAGATAGATTTGGAGTCAGTTACTGTTCAAAATCAATAGAAGTAATTCCCAGGAAGACAGCATTCACGATTCCACAGAGCACTGGGTAATAGATTTTGAAAAGCAACTGTGATTTGGGAATTCCATTATCTCATTTAAGAGGTGAAGGGGGTTATTTACTTATTTCGTAGGCCCAGCACATGAATGGGACTTGTTAAATTCCTGTTAACCACGTCCCCAACAGGTGGAGTTGCCAGGCGTGGTTTAGTTCTGAGTTCTGGCCTAGTGCTACGCTGTGTCATTGGGAATAAATCACTGCCCAACAGTCTGTTCCATAAACAACAATAATCAAGTTTCACAGGCTTTATACTTATTAGTGGAAACCAAATAATTGGGCAGAATCCCAGTGTGTTTTCTCTTGCTCACACTTAATAGAATTGATTATGGAACTTTTGAGAGGAAAAACTTGCCACTAAGACTTTTTTTTTAAGGAAAAGCAACCAAACACCATAAAATATAAAATTATGGATTTTGCCAATAGAGGTACTAGATTTTTAGTGCCAAGAAAACTCCAAACAATAGAAGTTAAATTGTATACATCTCTAGTAGGGTTTAAGAATTTCAGATTTGAACTTATGGCAGTTTACCAATTAAAAAGCAAGCTGGAAAAATACGTTTTCAGAGTCAGAAAGGAAAATACAAATAAAATTAAAAGCAAGCTAACAAAATATGCAGAATTAGCTCTTTTGGAAACGTCACCTTAATTCTGCACATTCTCAGATTTCTGTTACCCTTAAAGTTGCTGAATCCATCGGAGGTGTGGTTTATTTTGCACAGCTATCAGCCCCGAACTTCAAGAATATTCATGCTGGAGCCACATGTCTACGTCAGTATTGACAGTGAGGACACGTGGCTGGGCGGCCTTTGTGCTGCTCACGCCAAGCAAGGATTGGTTCATTCAAGGGATGGAGAGTAGAGTGTGGTTGGGACTTGGCAAATTCCAGAATCTGGGAAGAGAGATGGGGTAAGAAGGAGCCAGAGGAGAGGTTGCATCCTCAACCAGCAGTTGGCCACGAGGTCTGAACCAGCCAGGAACCTCTCTCCAGGACGACACAGGCTGCTCATTTCACACAAGGCTTTTGGCACAGCCCATTTTTTAGGAACCTCTCAGGATTGATAATTTGTCAAAGAGGAACAATGAGGCCAAGAGAAACTTGCTATATTTAGAGCACATCTATTCTAATAAAACTAGAGGTGCCCGAGCTCCTACGCAGGACACAGGCCTCAGTTGCAGGTTCAAGGCCAGGCATGAGGACATTCGTAGGGTAGGGTCAGGAGACTGAGGTCAACGGGGTTGGCACAGTTACCTTGGGGTGCTGAGCACCTGGGCAGGGCTCCTGACAGCAATCTCCCTGATGGTCTCACTGATTGTCAGGACAACTCAGACCTGATGTATCCCCCAGCTCACCAATTCAGAAAGAAATCCAGGTTCCTGACCAGACTCCTCCAGGAACATCTTCCACCAGAGACATTTCAGGAAGAAGAGCATGAGGGGGTCCAGAAGCCTCTAGCACGTTGCTCCCTTCAGCCTCTGAGCCTCCAGCATTCCTAGCAGGTCTCAGTCATGCTGGAGTGCACCCCCACCCTGTGCAGAATCAGTGTGAAGGGGCCCAGAACCTGCATTTTGGTGCCTCAGGCAAGTCTTGTGATCACAAACCACAGCTTCCCAACATGGGCAAGCACCCCGGGTCAGTAAGAACGCCGTCCTGGAGGTGGGGGAAGGCCATTAGCCATGTCAGTGGAGTCTGGAAGTGAGGACAGAGCAAAGCCTCTCAGTGACATCAGTGTGTCTGCAAAGCCTCTTGTTACGCAGGTGACGGGAATTAGTTACCAGCATATGAGGACACAGAGCTCCAACCAAAAAATGCAGTATTGTCTCCCCTGCCCCTGAGCTCCCTCTGGGTTTCTTATAAGCAGATGTTACATACAGATGTCCAGTGTCTCTAAACTAAACTGTGCTGTGTCATTTTTACAGCACACTTGCCCTTAAAGAGCACACAGTAGGTAAAGCCTGGGCCAAGAGGCACCTTAA